TACATCTGCATCTTAATCTTAAAACTCAAAATGCCTATATCCATGCTCCCTCCGAGTCTCGGATCTCCAATATGAAGGTAACCATATTCTCATAGATCCCAGAAAAGTAGTCTGAAATCCATCAAATGATAACTAGTTAAAATGTTCATGTGCATGTTATTGCTTACTGTACATAATGTAACTGTAATAAAACATTATAGTGCTCAATTACAGCTGTTAAGACCAACATGTAAATGTTAAAACATAACGAGTGCAATTGCGGCTGTTATATGCAACATGTACCTCTTAATTGCACCATGCAAATGTTAATGAAATATAACAGAGTGCAAAAACAGCTGTTATGCGAAACATGTACATGTAAATAAAACATAACAGAATGAAATTAAAATTGTTAATGTTAATAAAAGTGCACTAACTGCGTAACAGAGAGTAAAATGCCAGCTATGTTAATAAAAGCTCATTAACAGAGCGCAATAAATAATGCAATGCTTACAACCATTAACTAAAAGGGTACACCCAACGCTCAATAGATCGCCCCATTATAATATGATTACTCGAAGAGCTTGTCAGATGATACGGATCTGTTACAGTATCGCTGGCAAAGCAAACAGCGAACGGATAACGCGGACATATTTAACATATTGCGCAATTTGCTGATCGTTCAGCTGAACTCAACCCTCCAATTCAGCCAACTCTATGTGCTCTTTGGGTTTTATTTTGTTTTTTGTTCGCTTCTGTTTGTATTCTCAAGTGTTTTTTTTTTTGCTGTTCGCTTCTCCCTCCGCCGCTGATAAGCACACACACACACGCGGAATATACATTTCAACAATTTGACGTAAGCAGCTGAAAGTAAAAGTTTGCTACTGCCATTGCACCCATTAATTAAACAGAACAACAGGGGCCGGCATGTGACTAGAAGGGTAAGGGGTAGGGAGGGGGGGGGGGGGCAAATTGTGTTTGCATTCGCAGCAACATTTGCATTAAAAGTGCAAGTGAAAATGAGAACTGCAATCGCAAATTACTTGCAAACTACCGCAAACTGCAAATCGCGTCAATGAAAATGAAAATGAAAATGAAATTTTCTGAATACGTTGCGGGTTTTTATTTTATTTATTTATTTATGTTTTTTTTTGTTGACCCCGCTGGCGCCGGCGCAATAAATCAGTTTTTTATCTCTCTTGTTTTTATTAATTTTTCATTTTGTGCTAATTATACATTTATGTACTTATTTTTTTCGTTCCTAAAATATAAATTCTGTCAAAGTGATTTATGCTGGAATACCTAAATAATGCGACTGAATATGTTTCAATCAAATTAGGTTTCCAAATATTATTATACGCTTGTGGAGGGTATTTCAAGTTTGTAATGGAATATGCAACGCATAGAAGGAGACGTCAGCCGAGTTGATATAGCCAAGTCCGTCCGAACTAGTCTCTCCGTCTTTCTGTGACAGGCGGTATATATGTCGGAACCGGGCGGATTGGAGGACTATATTATATAGCTGCCAGAGGAACGATCGGTCGAAGACTGTTTCTTCTATCGATCAAGCTCTGCATCCATCTATTAGTTTCACTATGCTTTCTACATATATATGAAAATGTAGAACCTTGTCTAAATTTGACTACTATATCATAAACCCGCTATAGGTAAAATCGGTCGAATAGTAGTTTCTCATACAGCTAAATATTTTGTTACCCAAGTTATTTTGATCAAACTCAACATTCACGAGCTTCCCTATCACTAACACTATCACGAATTCACATATCAGCAAAGGGAAATTTTCACAAGGGTATTAAATCTTCGGCGTGCCGTATATATCTTTACTTTCTCGTTTTTAGTATAATTCAAATATCTGAAATATACATACGAACATGGCGGGTTGACACTTAAATCGTACGAAAAGTTCTCTTAAAGTATGATTGATCTATATGGAATGTATAAGTATGTGTGTATTATGATTAGATTTTATTTCAAGCCCAGTCTCATCTTACCTTATTTGCCGCTTATTACCTAAGATATGTATTTTAATGGAATGTAATTTAAATATTTGCTGGGAACTTTAGCTGTTAAAAAAACTCCTCCTACAATACAGTTACTTGCCGTTATTATTATCAAAAAAAAAAATAAACTCAATTGAAAGAAATTAGCTCAAGAGTTTTCATACATGCCACGTGCTAATAAATATTTATTTGATTTATTAGGAGAAACCCTAAATAATAAAAGGAATATTTGTAAAAAATGTTTATAAAAAAACATAATCAATTAAACAATCGTTTCGAATAAAATCTAGTTGAAATGTCAACAGATAAACGAATATGAAGTATGATTGTGACTAAATACCCTGTAAAAGGCAGATAATATTGCAGGGCGAAAAGTGTGAAATGTATAGTCGAAATGTATTTTCCATAACATACATACATATACCTTTACATATGTACATATATGAAAATCAAATTGTAAAAGCAAATGAAAGCCGCGTGATCGTCTGTCCCTGCAAAATTAGAACGTTTGCAGGAACAAAACAAAAACAAAAAAGAGAGTAATTAATTAATTAAATTAAATTAACAGCAAAAGTTATTGCAAAAGTTCTCTCAGCTGAAAGCGAAAGTTCTCTGCGAGAGATAGTTTAATGCCCGTCGTATATGTATATGTGCATATGTACGTATGTTTATTGTCTGTGCTATTAAATTTTAGAAGCCACACAAACACTGCGAGAGTAAAATAATAATAGTATAAAAAAAAAACAAAAAAAAAAACAACTCATTGTGGGCGTCGCAGTCGGCGCCGCAAATAAAAAAGCGCTTACGACAGCGCCGGGCCCCATGGCGCACACACACACGAGCCTGTAGCTGTAAACGTTATTATTGTTATTGTTACTGTTCACACATATGTATATAGATGTGCACACACACACAGACTCACACGATGTTCTCGCGATTGTCCAACTCAGTCGCACACATTCGTTGTGCGCTCTAGTGCTCGCTCGCTCATACACATTTGCGAAAAAGTTCTTTGACGTTTTGTTTATTTATTTTGTTGAGCTGCGCGCGTCGCCAGCGACAGCAGCAGCAGCAGCAACAACAGAAACAACAACTACAACACCATTAATATATTTCTCTTACTTGAAAGCTTTCGGTCAGGCTCTCTTTCATGCGGTCGCGCTCTCTTGCTGGCTTTGCATTTGTTGCTGTTGTATTTTAAACGTATACAAAGCGCAAAGAAAAGCAAAAGTACTTCTTATCAATTGCTTAGCGCCCCGCCCCGCTGTCTTACACTCTTCTGTTGCCGTTCGCTGCATTAGAACTTTGCCCAAAAGCAGTTAAGATTAGCGCGAGCTGTAAAAAAAGTACTTATGCATACATATGCACATATGTATGTATGCGGGACTTACATATACTAAAGTGTGGTTAGTACGAGGGCACCCATCAAATTATTGAGCTTTGTAAATATGTACATATGTATGTGTGAAGCTGTACATTAATTAGCATTAGCTTATCTGTGCCATTACATTTGGCCGCAAAACATAAGCCTATGTACTTAACCCCTAGTCGTTTACAGCCACGTTTTCATGGCCATTTGTGCGAGCAATTAACAGTTAGCCAGCAGTCAAAACATGGCGGCAACTAACGGCAATTAACACGCCACACACCAATGCACCACCCACCCGCCCGTAAAGGCACACGCACGCTGCGTATCGAGAGTGAGATAGCAAATGGCACACGCCTAGCGCCTGTTATCGGCTAACGGAAATGCAATTAATAATGTTGGTCCAGCAAGCGTATCCGGGCCAAGCGCAGGCATCGGCACAATTGCAATAAAAAATTCATGTTTGATGACAAATTACAGTTTGTTTGTGGTAGGTAGCACAGGTAATATATCGGTGCGCTGTGATAACGATAACAAGCCGAATGCCAAAATGGGAAGGGACTACTTCCGCTTCCGACATGCAAACTGATAATAGCTGATAAAGATAAAAAAAAAATATGCGACGGAAACTAAATTATAAATTTAGAACAGTGCTAAATCTAGTAATGGGAACAAAGTCCTATTTTCGATCACACTCGATAAGACAACACAAATTGTACAGACGTTTGTCTATTTGTTTAAGTGCAAAATTGTCAAATGTTCGCAATTATTGCTACGGTAAATATAACGGAAAATAATAGACAAGTCGTGTGGGTAAAATATAAAAACACCTGTCACAGACAATACCAGTAAATATACGAAATTAACATAAACATTTCCCACAAATTCTCTAGTGCCTCTTCTTATCCCTTCGAAAGAAACTATCACGAGATCTGGAAATACTTTTGTTTATAAACTGGCTTGTAAATGTGTTAATTTATGTTAAATGTTAGTAATAGACTTTCATTAACAACATTTTCTAAATTACAATCCGCCCTCCGATCCTCGCCTCTGATAAATGCTAGAATATTTTTTTATTCATATTTAGCAAATTTGATTAAGGTTTGGAACTGATCGAAGAACCTGTTTCAGAAAGTTGCTGTTATGAGAGAATTGCGCCTCTTAAATATTAATAGTAAAATAATTGAATCTTAAAAAAAAAATTGTTTCGTTAAGTTTGAATTATCCACTCAGTTTTCACCAGTGACTGCGGATTGCTCGAAAACTCTCGTTTATACATATGTATGTTTATAAGTTACATATAACAGTTTTCACCTATTTTCCACTGTTGTAGATTAAAAGTGGAATTGATTTGGTTAAGTGAAAGGCAAACTGTTGAGCAAATAATATATTTTCAGCACTTAGTAAAAAAAGAAAAGAAAAGAAAGTTATAAACAATACTTTTCACTAATTTTCCACGCGAATGTGTGAAATTATACATTTCAAATGTTTGAGGCAAATGTAAAAGTACTGAAAGGAATGTTGAGTCTTAGTTCTTGCCGGACTTGGGTCAGCTTTATATTTAAAACTATTTTCTTTTGAAAATAGTGAATCACTTGAATCTTTTATTAAAAAATCCGATATTCGTATTGCAGGTACAACACTGAACAAGGAGCTATGGACCAGCAATTCTGTTTACGCTGGAACAACCATCCCACAAATCTGACCGGGGTGCTGACCTCGCTGCTGCAGCGTGAGGCGCTCTGCGATGTCACCCTCGCCTGCGATGGTGAAACAGTCAAGGTGAGCAGCCTATTATCTAGGTAATTAAGCGGAAGAACTAATTAATATTATTTTCCAGGCACATCAAACCATACTGTCAGCCTGCAGTCCATATTTCGAGACGATTTTCCTGCAGAATCAGCATCCACATCCCATCATCTATTTGAAAGATGTACGATACTCAGAGATGCGCTCCCTGCTGGACTTCATGTACAAGGGTGAGGTCAATGTGGGTCAAAGTTCGCTGCCCATGTTCCTGAAGACCGCCGAGAGTCTGCAGGTGTGTGTTCGTTAAGCTTAGCTCGTCCTTGTAGCCCAGTGTATTTATTTCCGTTTCCCTTTCGTACGGCGTTCACAGGTGCGCGGCCTCACAGACAACAACAATCTGAATTATCGTTCCGATTGCGACAAGCTGCGCGACTCGGCCGCCAGCTCGCCCACTGGACGCGGGCCCAGCTATGGTGGCGGCCTGGGCGCCGATGTGCGCGACTCACGTGACTCCCTGCGCTCCCGCTGCGAACGCGACCTACGCGACGATCTGCAGCGCAGCAGCAGCAGCCTCAGCCTAAGCGAACGCAGCTCCGCCGCCGCGGCGGCAGCTGCTGCCGCGGCCGCTGTGGCCGCAGCCGGCGGCAATGTGAATGCCGCCGTCGCAGCGCTCGGCCTGACAACCAGCGCCGGCGAACGATCTCCCAGCGTGGGCAGCGCCAGTGCCGCGGCAGCTGCCATGGCCGCCGCAGTCGCGGCCGCTGCGAACAGAAGCGCCAGCGCCGATGCTTTAAACAGTCGCGGCGATGCTGGCAGCGATCGGGGCAGCGAGCGGGGCACGCTCGAGCGGGCTGATAGTCGGGATGAGCTGCTGCAGCTGGACTACAGTACCAAGGATAATAATAATAGTAACAGCAACAACAACAACAACAATAGCAGCAGCAGTAGCAGCAACAATAACAACAATAACAACAACAACAACAGCAGCAGCAGCAACAACAACAACAATCGAGAGCGCAACGATAGCAGAGACAGAGATCGGGACAGGGAGCTCTCCACGACGCCCGTGGATCAGCTGTGTAGTAGTAAGCGCAGACGTAAGAACTCATCATCCAACTGTGATAATTCGTTGTCCTCGAGCCACCATGCGAATGCGGCCCACATACAGGACAGACACTACGCGCAGGACTCTCAGGTGAGTTTCGAGTGCAACGAGAAGGTGTCAAAAGAAATACTGATAATATTATAATTGAGCACGAAATCTGCGACTCCATATAGTATATAATGTTGAAAAAATTGTTTAAAGAAAACGTTTATACAGTTTATCACAGACTAGCTTAAGTTCGGGCAGACGGATCAAATTATTAGACAAATTCTTCTGATTCAATTATTGCCGCTTGCTTTGTAGCCAATCAACGAGCTTTTGGACTGTTATATAAAGATTGAATTGGAATTGATCCAAGTTTTAAATATGTAAAATCGAAAAGCGAATGACAAATTCTTTGACGAAACTTGGCAAGCGTGTTACATAGGTCAATGCAGTAGAAAACATATCTCATAAAGTATTCTTATTTCATAGCATAACTCGAGAATTATAAGAGCTATATACACCCAACTTAGTATGCAGTAACTTGTGTAGTATGCCCAAATCGGGCACATTTCACTTTCTAGATATCTTGCCCCATTCTCCAAACAAATTAAAAATGCAACTCATTTTTAAAGATAGAGCCTTTCACTTAGGCATATTTGATTTTGGCAATAATTTTGACTGCCTAATGAAAGCAAGAAAGTAAATCATAACGCTAAATGCAAACTTGGCCATCTGCAAGCTTTAATTATAATTATATAACTCAAATCACCCACCTTAATATTACTGTTCATTGTAATGGGGAAATGTTTTGGCAGCCAGAAATATGATAGACTCTCGCACATGTTGAATGAATATCCTCATAGTGGACCTATATTTGCGTTCAGCAGCGATCCAATGCGATTGACTCATTCCCCCAACAAGCAGATCGCAAAGGTTGCAAAAGGGCAAGGTCTGCAGTATTGCACGAAATATATCTGAACAGTATAAAACATTTATCGTATTTAAGCCCAGAACAGCGGCGATCATCAGAAATGGTGCGACTAACAACTGGGCGCATTCAGTCACAACATCTGACAGAATAAGAGAGAGATTATAGGTAACGTGACCACAAATATTTCACCGAACTCATTTAAGGATCAGCTTGTAATGCAGCTGACACTATCGTTGTAGTTCTCAGTCTCTGTCTTAAGTAGATCGCAGTATACTTACGTGTGCCTTCAGTACATCGACATGAGAACGAAATATAATGATCAGCACAAGCGGATATGTGTCACAGACCAGGTTTATGGTCACAATCAAAGAGCGGATTGTAGATTATTCATGGTCTTTGCTGGTTCAAGTTCCCAGTCAAGAATGCCAGGGTACACCCTGACCATACGAAAATAAAAGCCTTGTCGATCTTCCAGCGATCGCTCTTACTAAGCAGGCGGTCGTCCATGGTATCGAGTAGCGACTGTGCCTCCTGCAGACGTCGCAGATATATTGCCAGAGTAAAAGCCTTAAACGATCCACCGAAAGGGTTTAAGGCCAGTACGCCAAGGACTTTTTATGCATTGATTTTTATGATTTTATGGATTTTTTAAATTGGTTTTTCTACATTTATCGATATAGTTGATCGATCGAAAGCCAATGAGAGACATATTTCGCTATCAATTTTGTATCGGTAGCCAGCTAGAAGAAAATAAACAATTGATGAATACATTTATTAGTAATCGGAATCGGTAATACATCGATACCCAGCCAATAATTTTTATCGATTTCTAATCAACTCAAAGTTCGTTATGTCATGAAAGTGTACATGAAGTTTGAGTTTATATAAATTCAGCTAGCAAAACATGCCAAATATTGACGGTTATCAGCACGCGTTGAAACACAGCAAACAAACAACATTTATGTTTGGCAATCGCGATAGGCAGATATTCTGACTTGTCCAAAGAGGCGGGCCTATCAGCTGTCAGTGGTCTTTTCTGATACGTGAGGGTGTGGGCTGGTGTGTGTGTGTGCTCGTGTGTGTAACTTATCGTATTGCTGTTTTAGGCAATTGGCGCGTGCCGCTCTCGCGCAGAGATTTTAACTTTTATGTCACTGATAAAATAAGTGTGCTCCAGCCGGCAGTATCCGACTAACAGATCTCCGAAACTCAGCGGCAAAACGTCCATTGAAAGTATTCCAGCTGTCATGTGCTTGTTTTTCTCTTAGTCCCACAATGTGTATGGGAAATGCATTCATGAATGGATTTGGATTGGACCGTAAGTCCAATAGTTCTCTATATAGCGAGTATGTATACCATGTATCAAAGCGCAAGGCCATAGTAATGAAATAGCGCGTATTTTCTTGCTCTATCAAAAAAGTTAAATATTGTTAATATATGTACTCTATTAGCTACATACCAAGTTTGGTGTAAATAGGTCTTGTAGTCTCTGAGTTATGCTTAAAAAACTATGTCTAAAAATCGATGTTTATCGATATTACTCAAATGAGAGAAACTGTAAAAATTTAAATGATAAAATCGTTCTGCATATAGTTTTCGAGAGCAAACATCAAGTTCCTAGATGGGTAAAGTCACGTCTGCTTCAAGGTTAAAGAAGAATACACTTAATTGTAAAGGTGCATAGGACACATTGAGAGAAAGTGTATGCTAATTCGTAGTATTTCTTTTTGCGTCCATTTTACAGGCGAGCAACTTCAAGTCGAGTCCGGTGCCGAAAGCGGGCGGCAGCACATCCGAGTCGGAGGACGCGGGCGGCGGTAGGCGCGATTCGCCGCTCTCGATGACCGTTGGCCATCTGGGCGGCGGCAATGTGGGCGCGGCCAGTGCGCTGAGCGGACTCAGTCAGTCGCTAAGTATTAAGCAGGAGCTAATGGATGCACAGCAGCAGCAGCAACATCGTGAGCATCACGTGGCGCTGCCCCCCGAATACTTGCCGGTAAGTGTATGATTCGACTACCGACTACCTGAACCAAAATTCAGCCCGTGTCCCCTCCATGATTCGATTTCAATATATATCTAATGTTAATGCGTAATGCCTTTTAGTTAGCTAAGTTTATTGTTAAGGTTTTTTCTTTTGAACCGGTGCGATGGTTCCAATTTCTGTTCTTAACCACATACAAAAAAAAAAAAAAAATTGCAGCTACATTATTTTTGTTCTATATACAATATTTCTGTACATATAATTGCATACTTTAAGCCAATTGCAAAATGCTTCAATAGAAAATTTACAAAAAGAAACGAGAAAACGAGAATACTCGAAAAAAGCTGCTAACAAATTGTTTTGTTTTGTAAAATTTAAGAAAAAATCGCATAAAGCAACGGCGTGTGAGAACGAAGGATTGGTTGTTTGGTTTTGTTTTTGAAATATAGATTTCTCGGAATTCGAATATCTCGAAATGGAATATCGGCCAAGAAAAAGAAAAAATCTCAACAATTATTGCAACAGCATAAAAAAAGAAAACAGCGTCAAATCCTTCCTTCTACCAGTAGATTGTTTCTGCCATTTTTTCTGAAGTTGATTTTTCCCATTTTCGTTTGTTTTTCGTTTTTTTTTTTTTGGTTGGTTTGTTTTTTTGTTGCGTTTCCATTGAACGCGCAGCCCAAAGCGAGCGGCACAAAAGACACAGACGCGTTTTCAAGCAACAAAAGCTCCATGCACCAGCTGCTGCTGCAGCAGGCGGTGGAGGCGCAGCTGAAGTCGCTGCAGCTGCAATATCAGCAGGGAACGCTCGACAGCACCGTGCAGCGACTGCTGCAGCAGCAGCAGCAGCAACATCAGCAGCAACATCAGCAGCAACAGCAGCAGCAGCGCCACATGGAGCCAAAACAACTGCTGGGTCCACCTGCAACCGCTGCCAGCAGCAGCAGCAGTAGCACTTCTCGCAAGAGCGGACGCTTTCGTGCGAATTGGTTATATCAATTCGATTGGCTTAAATACGATGAGCTGGCCAATACGATGTTCTGCAAGCACTGCCGCAAATGGAGCACCGAGCTGGCCGACATACGCACCTCCTTTGTCGAGGGCAACTCCAATTTTCGACTGGAAATTGTTAATCATCACAACAAATGCAAATCGCATCGCCTGTGCTATGAGCGCGAGCTCCAGGAGCAGGACAATCTGGCTACGTTGGCCGCCAGCAGCAGCCGGAGCAGCGGCACAGCCAAGCGGCAAGCACCGCCCGATATAATCACCATAAATGTGGGCGAGGACAGCGCCTGATGCCCAACAATGCATATAACTAAATGCACACACGCACACCCGCACACACACATGATGCACTTGCTCAGGTTTAGTTTTAGGCATAGTGTTAGCAGCTTTTTGTAATTTAATTTAAGCGGCTTGAAGCATTTTGCAATTGAATAATAATAAAATAATAAATACATATATACTTATATATAAAAAGAAAAGAATTTAACAATTGCGCACAACTCTCTACCCCACTCTTTCTCTTCCTCCCACTCTCTCTCTCTCTCTGTCTCTCTTTCTCCGCATTCTTAGAGCGCTGCTCTGAAAATGCACGCCGAGGACATGTCCACGCTGTTAACCCAACACGCGCTGCAGGCCGCCGACGCACGGGAGGAGCACAACGATGCCAAACAGATGCCACTCGATCAGACGGACAACATTGACGGTGAGTAGCGCCAACTTCACCAATATCTAAATATATCTCTATATATATATACATATATATACAAACATATATATGTATTCATATAGTATATATGTGTTTCGTTATTTTCTATCTGTGCTTTAAAGCTAATGCACTCGAAACTAAACGATATCAACAAAAGATATATAAAAAAAAGAAAAATAGAGCAAAACTTGTACGATTTTTACATTAGCTTTTGATTTCTGTATAAAAATGTATTTTTTTTATGGAGCATCCAAAGTCCGAACGAAAAAAGAAAAACTTGTAGTAAACAACTGTAAAAAATCCGTAGTTCTTAGCTTCATTATTTTCGTATAACCCGTTCCTAACTATCCCAGCGTACGTTTCCAGTAGACAAAAATTTTCTAACGGACTGCGGAAAAGCTGTGCACAATGGGCATAATATGCAGCATTCTCGAGGCCTCACTGTACGCGGCTATTCCGTTTAACTTGTAAGCTCCCTTAACAATAAAATCCTGCATGCACTTGATCGATCCATATATATATATATATCCACTCCTTGTACCGAACCGAAATCAGTTCACATTTCGATGCAGTTAAAGGGCTTTTTCACCCTACACAACTTTCCCCCCTCCCCCTTTCCACCGCCTCCATGCGCTGAAAGACAAATTTACTGTACCTTTACATTTTAGTATGTATATTAAGTTCTATTTACCCAAACTTTATTTTTATGCTTTTGTATGTATGTATTTAACTATTTTCTGTATGTATATCATTTCTCCTTTATTTATTTTTTTTGGCGTTTTGAATGACCACTCTTGAGCGAAAGTGAATTCAAGAACATTCTGCCATGAGAAAGAAATGCCATTTGCTAGAGCAACAGATCAACACCTCTCCTACCAAATAGTTTATGCTATATATGTATACACGTACATATGTATGTGTATATATAGTACATATATTATTTCGTTGTTTGTCGTATTGCCATCATTATTTTTTGTATTACTCGTATATTATATACTCTATATATATAGTCTTAGGCGAAACTACTTTAGCTGACTTATCGTAATCGTAATTGTAATCGTTATCGCAATTTCGTATATTTGCGGTTTAGTTTTTGTATGTTGCCGCATGTTGCATGTTTCTATGACGCATACACACACACCCACTATTGTTATTATTATTATTATTTTGTTTTTAGTTAAGTATCGATACATTAAATGTTATCTTTAATTGTTTTTATTATTTAAACTCGATTTCTCTTTACTTTAAACTTAAGTTACATTTTTCTCATAGTTGTACCTACATATATAGGAAATGCCTCCGCTGACATCCACGAATTGGTTCAGTTTAAGCAAATTGGCTCACATATAATATCATGACAAAATAAATTTCACACTCACACACACACATGTATTCTATAAACAATAAAAACTCATAAAATAAAATGAATATAAAATATTAATATCTCAAGTTTCATAAGCATAACACTTCACAAATAGACACACACACACACAAACACATACACAATGTTTAAACAATTCAGAGAAAAATAATGCTTCACATTCTTTACAATTCCTATTTGCTTATCAATGCATTTTTATTTATTCTATATTTTTATTATTTTTTTTTTTAATTTTTGAAGCCCCAAGCTAGCGTTCTTTTTTTTCTTCCTCTTTATTTAACATAAATATGAAGAACTTTTTTTTTGTTATTTTTTATTAACTATTTATAACTGTGCTAAACTTCAAAACCCCTCAAATTTTTCAACTCTATTTTCGTCTTTAATGTTGCAACTTATTGTCTAAGAAAATCGACCACATAAAAACCAAAACCAAATTCAATAACTTTGAGTAATTCTAAAAACAAGACTTTCGGTAAGAAAACCAAAATATAAATGATAATAATAAAAAATAAATAAAAACAAAAAAACGCTACAGCTTCAAAATTCATTCAGTTTCTATATAATTTTTCTGTTGAATATATTTACACTAACCTTGCTGCATATATAATTTAATGTGAGCTCAATTTATTTGCCACCACTGTAACGAGCTGTAAATGGTTGTCTGTTTTCTTATAATTGGTTTGTCAATCTACTAAATGTTTTTTCGAATATCTTTTCGCCTCTTTATACATATACTATATTTATGTGTATGTGTCGTGCGTATGCTTGTGTGTGTGTGTGTATGCGTGTCTATGTGTGTGTGATTATAGTCTTACGGTCTTGCCCAATGCTAAGCGCAATACTTACGGCAAAGCGAAGGAATTTACCGTGCACATTGGTAATACCAAAAAAGGAAAAAAAAAACAAATCGTACCCCATCTAACAACCCCTCTTAAGCTACCCACACTTAGGCCTGAAAAAAGAACTGGAATTTGTACCACAAAAAAAAATGGAGTAGAAAAAATGAAAATAAATTAAATTAAGTATTACGAGCGAAACAATGAGTATATCGTTTATTGCTGAAAAATTTGTTGCAACATTGAAGTACTAAAATAAAAGACAAAAAAAAAAAAAAAAACAAACTAATTTAATAAATAAATAAGGAACAAAATTGTATTATAGTATACTGTAAATGTCCACAAATGACACACAAAACATTTAAGTTAACATTTTGATTTGTTTACACTGTTGTGTTCTCCTTATATGCCATATAATGCAATATACATACACACAATACTATCTAGTTGAGTTGATTGAATAGAGCCTCTAATTACCTTATGAAACCTGCCGAAACCGAATTGAAACCTTAGCTTTAAGTCCTGTTTTTAATTTGTGTTTTATTATGAATTTAATTTAAGATACAATTAGTGCAATTTCATAAAGATGCTATAAATATGATTTCCTTTGGATATTATAATTTTGTTTATGTTACTTATAAAAAAAAATCACACATACACATTCGATCTGATTTGAAAACCTTTAGAACAACCCGTTAAACCAACAACTAGCCAGCCTAAGCTTCATTCCTAGTTCCATTTGTCAATGCAATTTAGTTTTACAATTTTGTAATTTTTACGTTACGTTCTGATAAACCACATTTGCCATAAAAAACACACACACAAAATCCCAATTGAAATGTATTGAGAACTTTTACAAATGTTTTACTACAACTGAAACCCAAACTAAGAACAATTCTAGTAGCTGACTGTTGTTCCAAATTCGTTTGCATATCTAAAGACAAAACATACCCATATATATACATAAATATATATATATTTACCTATACCATAAATACAAGTAACTGCTATACAAATATACCATATACCATATATATATATATAAATATGCAATCCTTACGGCTTGCCAATTGCGCACATCTTATTCAGTTCAGTTCCAATTAGCATTTGGCCAAAGCCCACTGTGCGCATGGAATGTAAACGAGAGCGCATCCCATTGGCCAGCCATTGCATTCCATGGTCGCAAAGCTCGTTAAAACCAAATCCTATCGCCATTCGCTCACAGTGATAACGCATTATACGAAACGCAAATGTTTGCAGGTCGCGTTAAATGTTTTAACAGTGCCCGCAAGCACAATGCGGACGACGATGTCGAGCTCGGTGTGGCCGTTGCCGTCGTCGCAACGGCTGACCAGCAAATGGCTGCTGATGAGGAGGAGGCGGAGGCCGAAGCAGCGGCGGCGGCGGCGGCAGCGGCAGCGCTCGCCTACCATGCCACGCCCAAGTATAGGCGTGCCATAATCTATGCGCCGCACGAGGAGGATATGCACGCGACGGACCTGTACATGGACAACAACAACTATAATTGCGAGTACAAGTGCAAGGAGCGCAATATGCGCGCCATACGCTGCAGTCGCCAGCAACAGCAGCAGCCGCATCATCAGCTGGCGGCGGCGCCGCAAACGGCACTGAATCTAGGCCGGCACAGCAGCGCCATTGTGGCAGCCACAGCCGCCGAGACGCTGTGCGGCGCCGAGGCGGCCTACTCGCCCACGCCCACTTCGAGCAGCAGCAGCTATCGGGAGCAGATGCAGCAGCAGCAGCAGGCGCCGCACTTGAGCTACGCACTGCAGCAGTCGCCCAATGGCATCGCCAATGCATTGCAGCCGAGTCATCAGCTGGAGCTGGCCCATAGCTATGCCCACCACGCCCATCATGTGCCGCCCCATGGTGCACTCAGTTCCCCGCACTATCAGCCAGCGCTCTCGCCACAGCCCAGCTCCTCGTCCGCCTCGGGCAGCAGCACCTCAGCAGCGGCTGCGGCGGCCGCTGCGGCTGCTGCTGCTGCAGCAAATCGTCGGGATCATAACATCGACTACTCCACGCTCTTTGTGCAACTGTCCGGCACGCTGCCCACGCTCTATCGCTGTGTCAGCTGCAACAAGATTGTGTCCAATCGCTGGCATCACGCCAACATCCATCGGCCCCAGAGTCACGAGTGTCCCGTCTGTGGCCAGAAGTTTACGCGGCGCGACAATATGAAGGCCCATTGCAAGATCAAGCATGCGGATATCAAGGATCGTTTCTTCAGCCATTATGTACATATGTGATCACTTCTTTAGATAGTTAGACCCCTGTGACGATATGTAAAACCCCCTACAAGCAATTGCAGACCCCCCTCAGTTATATAATTACGTACACCTAGAACCCTAAGAATTTCCGAGAGTTTCTTCAGCGCTCACCGCAATTTACTTAAAGACAGGTAAAAGAAATAAGCAAAAACAAAAAAAAAAAAAACAAATCAAATCAAATCGAATAAAAGGTTTTCAATTTTAAACTTATAAAATCACATACGTAATATTTTAACGCTGAAAGATTAAGGAATTCGAGTATTCGAGCAGATTTTAGCTATATATCAATATATACATATACACACATGTATTGTACTCTTGTAGTTGATTTATCAAAAGACTTTTTATTAATTGTTATTCAAATAACCTCTAGACGCTTTTTTACATCATTTTAAAATATGGTACTACACATATTTGATTATTATAAACCGCATATACCGAGGCCAGTACTTAAGTAAAAACTTTAAAAAGTATTACAATTAGAATTCCACAACTTTACGTTTACCAGTTAAACTTATTTGTTTAAGTTATGATTTGTTTGTTTATTTATTTATACAATTTATATAATTTATTTAAACATTTAACATGTGCTGTAGTGAGTTTTGACTAATACTATTTTGTGTGCCATATTATATAGTACTTAAACTTGTATTCAATTAATCAAAGCAACAACAATAACCAAAAAATGCAATTTTTTCGACCAATAATAAGAAAGAAATTCAAATTTTAAGCAACAAATGCAACGAGTAGCTAAAGCTATGGAAAAGCAAAGATCAAACGTAAACAAAAGCAATAGAGATCAAAACGATTTCATAAATCATTAAGAAACCAGACTATTTTAAATATATAAACAAAGAAATTGTTAAAAATTCAAACTAAACCAAAACGTGCTCAATTTCAAAGGCATTCATAAGTGCCACAGACATATTTGAGCCCCTGTGAGCACTTTGAGCCAACTTTTATATATAAACAGGGCTGCAAACCTTACGAAATTTGGCGCTATTCAGGTTTACGGTTCAGTTCACGACTCGCTTCACGGCTCGAACCTGTTCTTTCACATATATGAAACCAGGATTTTATACAAATTCTACTGAAATATTGCAGAGTGTGCATGTTTTCATACTTTGTTTCTTTTTATTTCTGAGCAAAATCAATATAATTTATAATAAATTAAGTAAGCCACAAGGCCAAAACTCACTCAAAAGATTCATTTGAGTAATAATTAACCAATTTTGATAAAAAAAGGTTGAGATTTCGATTCCTAGTTTATTCGAGCAGTTGATTTAAATGAATATTCAGTTCACACTCAAAAGCAAAGACAAATTTCGAGTTTGAACCAGCTTGGTTCAAACCCGCTTTGCAGCCTTGTATATATGGCAAGGTGTATTTGATATCTGGATTGAAATTGGGCGCTCGTTAAATAATTGCACTCGTATCTTTGGCAAGACACCCACCGAAGTGCATTAGTTGCAGATTTATATTTGACATAATTATTTAAATTTTAAAAAATAATGTATTTGAAAGTGGTTTGCTAAAGAAACAATGTAAGCCAAACACACACACACACACACGCAATACTCAGCAATAAACAATTAGAAAAGCAGCAAATGCATTGTATTTAAAACAAGAACAAAAATAGTCGTAGATTAAGCAAATGCAAATGCAAACTCTTAAAACTATTTTAAAGATAAACACAACAAATCAGCAAGCAATACTTAACTTCTTTAACTTTACTTAATAAATCTCTTTCAAATCGAATTCCAGTTCTTTTCAATTTCAAACACAAACAAAACCCAAAATGTTTCACATAGGAACTAACAACCAGATCAACCAACTTAACTCAGTTTCTTATATAAAAAGAAAACAAAATTCGATTAATCCAAAGAAAAATTAAAAACAAAACAATAAGAAATAAATATACTACAAGCGCACTCTCTACCTACGGTAAGTTTCCATTTTCTAAGCTCTATTTAAACATAAAACTAAGTTTATCTTAAATCTGTTTGATTTAATTTTCATTAGTTTTTAAATAATTTATAAATGTATAGGTTACGTATTGTTTTTTATGTATGTGCATTCTTTTAAATTTTACAAACGCAAAAATAAGCAGAACAAAAATTTAAAATTTTTATAAAAATTACTGGAAAAAAAAAACAGGAATTGGCCAAATAATTGAAAATGTTTACTATATATATATACTTAATATTTTGAAACACTTGCTCTCTCTCTCTCTCTCTCTCTCTCTCTCTCTCTCTCTGTCTCTCTGTCTGTCTGTCTGTCTCTCTTACTCACTCACTTGCTATCTATAAGTCTCTTTCTCTATCTCTCTCTTTCTCTCTGTCTCTCTCTCACTCACTCACACTCTGTATATCTTTCTTTCTCGCTGTCACTGTCTTTCTCTCTGCCTACGAAAGGCGTCTTTTCTTTGTTTTTTCGAGCTCTTTATAAATGTTTGTATGCAGCAGGCAGGAGGGGTGTTGAAAATATGTTCCATATCGATGTTCCATAATTTTCCGATAATATGCGTGTCATTTAAATTATAAACCCAATGATTAGCAAATATGTTGGCGCAATGCTAGCTTTGTTAATTTCTAGCTGTTTATACATATAGACATGTTTATATAAATAATAATATCTTTGCCGTGACTATATCGAATCAATCAGTTAATGTCCCTCTTTTAATTACACCCCTGTATATTCATATATTAGCAAATACCCCAATATAAAATATAATACAACAACTGCTCCTCAACACCCGTACAATTCAGTACAACATATCTTGAAACTAATATGGTTTCGGCTTACAACAAACAAATACAGAATTTAATACATATATATATATATATATATATATATATATATATATATATATATATATATATATATATATATAATATAAATATATATATTTATGTATTTTAACAAACAGTAGAAACACGTTTAAACATCCAAACAAAACACACACTCATCATCTATTAAAACATATAACAAATTATAAAAATTAATTATATTTATTTATAAAAAACAAATATTGGTATAACCCAAACAAAACACAGCTCATATGCATATATATATATTTATCTAAATACATATATATATTTATATATATTTATCTATATATATATATATATATATTTTTTATATAGTCGTATACATACATAATTTGGTTTGGGTTCTTCAAAGTATTCAGCACCTGAAAATTGAGCCTAGTTAAATTTAATCGAATATTATTAATTCTTAATTATTGTAAATAATATTTTTATAAATTATTTCTTAAGCAAATATCCATTTTGCCAATGTCAACTATTTTTAATTGGTTCGAATTTCATTTTCTATATGTAAACATAATTTGGTTTACCTTACCCCAAACCCCGCCCCCCACGTGTCCAACACTTTCAAATTCAATGAAAATATTTAACTAAATTGTTCTTTGTATTTTTATTGCTGTTTTTTGTTTTGGGTGTAACAAAATTTTTGCGCGAAATTTGTTATTGAGAAAATGAATTTTAAAAAATCATCTATTTAACTCAATCAAGCTCCCCGCCACCTCTCATGGTTCCCCCCAAGCAACACACTTATGTTTCCAAATACATATATATTTTATATATTACTAAAATCCAGACAAGAAGTCACATGTCTTCTCATCTCTAGATTATAAACTATTTAAACTTCAAACACTCTTCATTGGCAATGCTAAAAAAAGGGCAACAAAACTAGTAAAAAAAAAACACACACACAAAATTAAATGCAGTTTATAAAAACCATTGAATTATACAGCTTAAGAATAATTATAAAATAATTTTTCTGTTTCTGTGAATCACCAACAACAACATTGTTTTTCTCTTCTTTTTTCTTTACGCGTTTGAACGAACAAACCAAAACCAAACCAAAAACCAAATCGAACATTTTAAATATGCAAATCTTAACAATTACAAAATAAATATATGAATCAAAAAATATATCACAAATAAAAAACGAAACGAATCGAAACGAATTCCGTTATGCGGCGAACGTAGGCTCGAAGGCCTGGCACATGCGGCTCACCTTTGAGCGTCTCTCCGGTGGCTGCAACCTGCATCGCTGCAAGCTGTGCGGCAAGGTCGTGACGCACATACGCAACCACTATCATGTCCACTTCCCCGGCCGCTTCGAGTGCCCCTTGTGCCGTGCTACCTACACCCGCAGCGACAATCTGCGCACCCACTGCAAGTTCAAGCACCCCATGTACAATCCGGACACGCGCAAGTTCGACAACCTAATGTCCGCCTCGGCGACAACGGTGGGCGCGGCCACGCCTACGGCTACACAGCTGGCGGCCGCATCACAAGCGGCCATGGCGGCGGCGGCAGCAGCAGCATTTACAGCCGCGCACCAGCAGCAACAGCAACAACAGCAGCAGCAACAACAGCAGCAACGCGAGCAACAACAGTCACTGCAGCAACAACAAGCGCAGCAGCAACAGCAGCAACTGCAGCAACATGCACATTCACTGGCGCAGCAGCACATGCTGCATCAACAACTGCAGCCGCAGCATCACCAGCAGCAGCAGCACAATGCAACAAGCGAATGATATAGCCAGTACCTGGCCTGGAACTATGCTGCATGGAGTCCAGAAGAATCGTCCCTGAAACAACCGCCGCCGCACTTTGCCAGCAACTATCAACAGCAGCAGCAACAACTACGCCGGGCGCAGCCCTTCAATTTCTATGCACGCAACTACTATCAACAAAACTTTGAGGCCAAACAACAACACAACGGCAACATGAGATTGCAACAGCAACAACAACAGCAGCAACAGCAGCAAGATCAAACGCAAACGCAAACGATTGTCATTGATGAGAGCGACAATGAGCTGGAGGAGCTGGAGCCAGATGGCATGGCCAGCTGTATGCGGCGCAGCTTCAACCATTATATGGCACAGCTAAAGCAGCTGGCGCCGTGCGTTGCAGCCAGCAGCAGCAACATGTGCAACAACAACAGCAGCAGCAATAGCAATCAAACGGAAGCTAATACAATTAAAACAGCTACAACTACTAATGCTAATGCCAATGCCAATGCTAATGCTAATGCTAATCGTAATAATTGTAATCCCAAAAGCTACAACAGGCAGCTGCCATAAGCAGTGGCAACGACAGCAGCAACAACAAGGCAAACGTTTGATACTCAGACTAAGCATATATATAGACAATTATATATATATATATATATATAGCACAACTAACTGAATGAAATCTTAAATGTTGACCATGCATTGCAAAACATTATGGTAAGCCAAATTTATTTGTCAATTATATAGGAAAAGAAAGAAATCTTAAGTTATGAATTGAAGGATGAAAGAAAGTATGGAATCAAATGCTGACCTGTGCACGATTCATGGTTTCAACTGGATTCAGATGTTGCAATTTCATAGTTACATAAAAAAAACAACAAACATTAATTAAGTAAAACTTAACAATAGTAAGAAAGCACTTGTAGCGAGAGGCAAGAGGCAACAAAAAAGGGTTTCCGAGCGCAGCCAACAGAGGACTTTATGCAGTTTGAAGGCAGTTAATTATAAACCACAACAACAAAAATAAATAGTACATTTCAAATACAGTAAATTATATATACTCTAACTCTAACTATTTTATCAGCACATAATTCTAGTTGTTAGCTAAAGCAAAAACATTTGCTGGCCTCCTGCTGCCAACTGTGGGGCAAGTATATTGTGCCAAGCTGTTTGCACCTGTTTGTTGTTGCATTTAACACTAATGTGCACACGCTTACAGCAAGTATGTGTATATATATATACTTATATATATATATACCATATGAAGCCCCCAACTAATATGTAACCCAGCCCCAAGCACTTTATTAATACTTATTAACAGAGATTTCAAAAGGCACAAAGACATTGTTAGGCGCAAGATTTTGTGTGCAGCTAATATTTCAATACAATTCTTCATGTTAAATATATACATATATATATATACTTTAACAACACTGTAATATATTATAATAAGCTATCCCCCACCCCCTCCCCACCAAACCTACTTACACCACTTGTAGTACAGTTATATAAATATATATTGTATGAGATTTGAAAAGAGAAGAAAACAACAAAAAATAATAATATTTATTTAATGTTAAACCTGGAAGACATGCATACGATGCCCTATTAGTATACAGTTATATTAATTAATTAACTAACTAATTAATTAATTAATTCAACATACAAAACGAAATACAAACAAAAATGTTAATTTATTTATAACACACTCGCTGGTGTGCAGGAGTATGTGTGCGCTGTGTGAATAAGAAAGTCCCAACCCGCCCACAACCCGCAACCTGCGCCCTGCCCCCCGCCCACCTACCCTTTGTATTATATCAGCCATAACGCCATTAACCCTTTATATATATATATATATATCTTAATATATATATATGTATCTGATAACTGAAAAATGCATGTGCGTGTCGGGCTAGGGCGCCTTCTGTTATCCAGTCCATATAATTTAGTTATATTAATTATTAAACATAATTTTGCAGCATTTTTATAAGCTACCGTATATATATATATGAGTATACATATATATACTTACGATATATAAATATATATATTTTTTACACATATCTTTTTTCACTAAGTAGTTTTGTAAATTGAATTTGTTGTTTTTGAAACCAACTGGTGCGCACATGAATTGCCTAAACAAAAACAAAATTAAACAAAAGAGTAACATAATACATTAATGAATACTATTT